AAGTAAAATAGAATGAACATTCTCATGTCATCAACACGTTTAATATCTACTCTTATTTGGGGGTAGATGAAAATCTTCATTTGTGCATCAGAAATGTATAGAAGTCTCTATAACATGATATACTTAACCGAGAACTTTCATGAAATACAAAAACGAATACGATAATATAGACTGTATAATTAAAGAGAATGTAGAGACATGAACTGCCTTCGGTGTAACCACCCTCTGAACACCAAAACATTACTGTGTGCGCTCTATAAAAGCTCAAATGCGTTCTGCGGAAAGGGGCGCAATGTAATTTTTTACCGCTTAAGCAATTGTTTAAGGTTTTATAATTGTCAAATTAGACTTATATCACTTACGTGTATGCGAATAAATCATTTATTACTTTTAATGGACCATAGAGACTTATTATTGCATAATCGAACTCTTTGTTACGTTATTCACTATTTCTATAGTTATAGTCCCCCGCTTTCAGCGTCGGCAGATTTAGATTATAAGCATCTTAACTGATTGTTATACCACATGTATATATTGTATGTATGGGGTATAGCGATGAATTGTTTATTAACTAGTGTGTAATGGTGTTAAGGTGCTTTTAAAATAAATTTGATGTGAACTAGCCCGTGATTATTGTGATACCTGACTCTTGGCTCGTACTCGAGTACTTGCTTGATCGAATGCGACGTTATTGTAAATATTCTGTATTATATACACACTTATGATTCTTTAATAAGCTGTATGTATGTACGTGTCACTTATGTCACAATGTTTTATCTGCGGTGCCTTTACGGGAGTCGCGGTATGCCACAATTATTGTTAAGTTTTTATATATAGACCGAGGACGGTGACTGGCAGTCATAAGATTTCATGAAAACCTCAGATATTGTTTGTTAATTGAATGTTAAGTTGTTTTTATTTTTTGTTTAGTAATATTCTCATAATTGACAGATCGTGCCCCCTTGTCTTATAAAAAGGTCTTAAAAACATTTCTTTATATGGATATTTTGTACTTGAGGTATTCGTAGATTGGCTTCAGAACTTACAATATTTTAGTACATAAATACAAATGAACAAACATCGAGTTTAATCTAAAGAAAATCAGAAAACCAAACATTGAACTGATAACTTGAAAGTAACTGGGGTCAATATGTAAAAACTTAACTATGGTAGATCTCGTTACATAAATAAAAACTTAAATAAAATAGCTGTTAAAATTCAAATAAAATGATAATTTTTGTAAATGAATTTCTGTTAATTTAAATTTTAAATTCAAAATGTAAAAAATGCGACAACTAGAATAAAAAGTATTTTTATATGAATGTCTTGATTTTGTAAAATCTTGATTGTGACAATGTTCCCGTAGCCGCGGAAACAAAATCTACATAATTTAGTATATTACTAAATAATGTAAATAGCATACAAGTAAATAATAATTTTTGATCAGTTTGGTTCATTGTATTAAAATATTATCTTGAATAGGAATGTTGATACGTTTTAATTTTTGTCAATTTAAATAGTTTTACGAAGAAGTCTGCGTAGGTTGAATGAGTTAATTTATATTATATGCTAGTAATATTACTGTCTTTAATTAGACATGTTTTGTTTTTGTAAGGCAAAGTCATTGAAATTTTACCCCCAAAATGGAATAAGGACTAGGGCATATTCACCTCCAAACATCCAAACATATTTTGTGTAGACACAAAGCGTAATTTGCCACTAAAAATGTGATAAGATCTCTATCTTGCAATTATATTTCTTGCTGATATTTTGAAAAAAATCTGTAACAACGGAGTTTACATTTAATGAAATCCAAAATTAACCAAATAGTAAATCAGCTGCATCTGTCTATTTCTTATCAATCATTATTTTGTTAAGGATTCTTCCAGGATTAAAGTAACACATTATTTAAACGCTTTGTTGATAATAAAGAAAATAATAATAAAGTAGTGACGACTAGAAATGTACTGAGCTACTGACGGCTAAAGAGCTTGTTAACAACTGCGCGAATTAGTCCTTATTCCAAAAGTATTCACTTGTTTTGTTTAAAAATTATAACCAGGACATATCTCAATTTCTTCTTCAAAATAGTTTATTTTTCTCATTAGTAGAA